AGCGCGAGGTTCTGCAGTGACCCAATAGGTGGCAAACAAGAGGCGATGACTGCCGGCGTGGAAAGGACGCCCAGGCGGAGGGCGCAGACTCACAGCTCTGAGGCAGGGGTGAAGGGGCGGCGCCACCTCAGTGGAGGAGCACTGCACTGCTGGGTACCCCAATGCGGCCGGTTTTGTGAAGCCCTCAGCGCTGACCGGGCCTCGCCGCGGCCTGCACACGTGAGAGGCCAGGACTCCTGCTCCCACCTTGGCCCAAAAACAAGCCTGCACCCGCCCCGCCCCCAGTTCTCGCCCCGCCCCATGGGGGTGCACACCTGCACAGTGAGTGCAAGTCTACCACCTGCTCCCCAGAACGGGGCGGGGGCAGTAAAGAATGGGGGTGGGGGCGGGGAGAGGAAAGAATGTGGAGCATCCATGATGAAGAGGTGCTTGAGAATGAGGCTTGGAAGCCTCACGGGGAGGTTCGTTCTGTTTGCCCTGCAGCTGTCCCTTAGGAAAGGCGGAGAGCATGGCTGTGAGGGCTCCCTGTGCAAGGAGTCCAGTTCCATAGCCAACTGGAATTGGCCTCAGTTTCCTGGTCTGTAAAATGGATTAAGCGTGTCCCAGTGCCTTCACTGAGCTTTGAGGGCCAATTGAGATACTATATAAAGAAAATGAGTGAAGACATGAGAAAGAAAAGGAAGGGCGGCAACACAAAAGAAAGATGGGAAGGAACCTGTAAACCTATTGTCACTTAAATAGGGAATAGAGTCAACAGTGTTGTAATGACGATATGAAGCCAGGTGGGTACTGGAAATATCAGGGAACACTTTGTAAAGTATATGATTGCCTAACCACATTCTGTAACTAATATAAAACCTGAAACTAATACAAAATAATATTGAATGTAAATAAATGAAGCTAGGAGTGAAATTTTTCTAAATTTCAAAGTTTAAATAAAGGCTGTAAAGGAAGGAAGGGGGAGAATAAAAATAATGTTTTTCATTTTACCATTTTATTGTCTTTTCAGTACATGAAAAAGACAGTTGTCTATATGGTGCTTTTATGCTTTTCTAAGTCATTATCTCATTTGATGTTCAGGGCAACTTAAAGACAAGATAATTATTCCCTCCACTATTCAAAGAAAGGAAAACTTGGTGCCTGGCCCCAATGATTCAATCGTCAAGCCCTTATTGTAAAGCAGGGTTAGTGAAATTTTCTGTGAAGGCTCATATCTATACTAATAAAAGCCTTGGGGGTGATCTGGCCAGCAGGGGAGGGCAGTTGGGGATGATCAGGCCGGCAGGGGTGTAGTTAGGCATCAATCAGGCCAACAGGGGAGCTGTTGGGGGGCGATCAGGCTGGCAGGATGAAGCAATTAGGGGCAATCAGGCAGGCACGCAGGCGAGCGGTTAGGAGACAGTGGTCCAGGATTGTGCGAGGGATCGCCAATTGCCGGTTTAGGCCTGATTCCGGCAGTCGGACATCCTGGGATCAGGCCTTCCAGACATCCAGGGACATCCTGGGATCAGACCTAAACCAGCAGTCGACATCTTCCAAAGGGTCCAAGATTGGAGAGGGTACAGGCTGGGCTGAGGGACACACCCCTCCCATGCACGAATTTTGTGCACTGGGCCACCAGTAAATTTATATGTGTGTTTTATTCCTACTAAGCCACCAGAAAGTTAACATTTTAATGTAATACTCATCTTCTCATTGTCTGATTGATAATTCTTTCTGGTCATTTGTGTATCAAAAGTTGATTCGTGAATTTGACACATTTAAAATATGCCACCTATTTGGTGATCCTATGTTAACATCTTTTTTTTTTTTTCAAGATGCTGAGAGCGTCAAAAATAAAAGTGAACTATGTGTGAGGTGTCGGGTGGGGACTAGACTTATCGGGGTGATCACTTGTAAGGTAGATAAGTGTCTGGGCGCAATGTTGTTCACGTGAAACTAAGGCCTGGAAAGGGATGGACACTCTGCCTGAAACATGGGGTCACTAAGGGACAAGGGGAGTGAGACCCTTGTCAGGTCCACTCGGGTCGAGTCGGCCAAGCAAGGAGAGTGTGTCTCATTGGACGACGTGTGGCAAGGAGTGCCACTGCCTGCTATTGATTTCTGTGACTCTTGCTGATGAGGAGAGAAGAGAGAGAAAGGGCAACAGGGGGATTAGGAAAAGAGGGATGTCACTGTAGTGGTGAGAGGACAGAGGACACAGAAGGTCAGAGAAAAGGGAGGGGAAGGGCCAGATTGGAGAGACTTGGAGTAAGGATGGGTGGGGAGTGAGGAGAGAAGAAGCCCATGTTACAGGAGTTGGGTTGCAACCACTCTGGGTTATTATTGCCTTTGGTTGCGGCAAGCTGGTGTAGAAGAGGAACAGATCCGGGAAGAGAGTGTTTGGGGGAAATGGATAGACCGGGATTGTGCATGACAAGGTTGAGAAACAAGCGTAACCCAGGAG